TTACATAGCTTACATGTGTCATCAAAACCATGAATACCAGGACATCAATAAAATATATCACATCACTTGGACAACAAACGTCCACATATATGACTGACTATAAAATTGTTTGTCCCTATCAAGAGAGATGATAAGAAATGACTATCTCCCACTAACGAGGTAACCATCCCTATGTTACTTTATTGGAAATCTTATGAACAATGTTATTTACCATCAAGATGCCAAAAAAGGAATTTTCAATTAGCTAATAAATTGATGAATGTAGGAATTTACTGTCTTATTTCTTCCCTTCTGCAGATGATTCACTACCTTGCTGAATAGTTCAAATAGTATAGATTAACCACTTTGTACAATGGAACTGTCTAAGTAGCCTCTAAAATTAGTTGAACAATATCTTTGTTTTAATTATACAATGCATATGGGAAATATTGATAAAAAAGATGTCTTCATATCAATTTTATAAAAGGTTATGTACAAAAATGTGAATTCAGAACAAATATGATAGAAAATGTATTTCTTCTAATCAACAATGCCTGTTGACAAGTTCACATACAAGCTTTGAAGTTTAAAGAAAATATATAACTTAACTTGTAAGACAGAAAAGGTTAGAAATATTTACTGATGCATCCTAAAAATCTGTCAATATCACAGAAAAAAAAAGAATTTTTGCTGTTTTCTTGTAAAATTATTTCAAATATTTGTTGTACATTTAAATTCACCTACAAGTCCTATTATCTGTAAAATTTCAATGCGAGAATAATTGCAATAACTTGACTATAGAAACAAACTTCTGCAAGCCATCTGTATTTTATCTTGCAGTAATAAATTTGTCTATTTTGGTGGGCCTCTGCTACCTTGCACTTTAGCACTTGCTGCATCTGAAGCCTTCACAAAAGTACGTTGTAATTTGTTCTTTTTTCTTTCTCTGTAGCCATTTGCAACATCCTTTGCAAGAACTGCAACCTGTTTCATGGTCTGTTCTGGGTACCTGAATATGGAAGAGGGCAACAATAGAGCCATGTGTATAAAGAACAAAATGACAAACAAGAACAAGCTATTTCAATTTCACTTCAGTAATAGTATGACAAGAAATATGAAAATTATATGACCATTGTGAAAGAGCTTACTTTAAAATTCAACAACTTACCTACAACCTAATAATTCTACATTGACAAAGACCTGTGCGAGGCAAATTAAGCGTTCTTCAGGGATCCTGTCTTTGTGTGCCAGAATGAAATCACGTTTGAGTTCCCAGTGCTCTTCGCTCTCGTAGAAGGTGTGATAAGCCTCCACATTCCAGTTGGTGTTAAAGCTCATTCTGTCCTACAAATATGATAATAACAGTTAGGCAAAAAATTAGTAACTAAGAGGTAAATAACATATGTAGTCAGTCACAAATTAAGTATCAAATACAAAGAAAATAATAAATGAAATTTGTCACAAAGTTTAATAAATAACAAGAAGAAAATTGTGGCACAAACATTCTGACAAACAACAACAAAAAAACAGAGAAACATATATAAGTAAATATGTGAAATGTATCATATGATAAAAAAAAATGTTGTCCTGTATCAAATTAAGGGAACAGAATATGAATTTCTCATTCATTTCACAAAACTTACACAATAATTGAGTAGTTCCTGCAATATAATGTTTAAACCATGTAAGCCTACCATCTGATAACTTCTGCAGATTTTTATTTTTTAAATTCTATCTTTATGTATTAATTTTTATTCATTTATCATTATCATTGTCACATTGTATCATTTGGCCTAGAACTAATCAGTATAAATTCCTTAAGCTGGAAAAATAGGAAATTATAGGGGGATATTGAGTCTCTGACTAAACCTATCCTAAGAGCAACATTTTTTCTAAATCTCCTTTTAGAGTAAAATATAAAAACAAAACACAGATTTTGAAGATGATTTAATTTATATATACTACTATCCATGTATTTATGTAACTGAATGTCAGAGCAACCATTAGACACAATTAAACTAAGATGAAAATAAAAATGTAAGGTATTTATTTAAAATGAGCCTTCCAAATATGACATATCTTATTTGCAAAGGTCTTTCAATACAGACCATTCAATTCAATCACTGGTGATTTTCAGTAATCATTATTGATAATAAAAAAAAGGGGGAAAAAAAAGAAAGAAAGAAAAGAAAAAAAAGGGGGGGATTCAAACATCCATATTTCTCAAACAGTGAATTACACAGATAAGTTGTTTTGCCATACGCCTTCCTTAGTTGCCGTTGTTACCAAGCATGGAAATATATTGAGGGAAATCTAAAGTAAAATGTATAAAAAAGAACGTATACAATATATAAACTTGAATGATTACAAATCAATCATATTGGAGTAACACATATATTCTTATAAATATTTATATAAAAATAATGATTATTGCTGGTCACATCCAATATTTTGGTCGTAGAAATTGAATCTAAATTTATTTGCCTTCATTCATACATTTTTCAATTTATTTGCAAGTTGTTAAGTGAACTGTGATAGATGATACCTGAATTTTCTTTCCAACAAAGTACAAACTTTCAGTTACACACTAAATTTTGCTCTGTTTACTACCCTAAACAATTAAAAGTTGCCAAAGTAAACTAAAAAGAAAGAAAAAGAAACTGAAGGTAAAGCTGAAAATATTCACTAGCCAATACGAAATGATGGTCAAGCAATATTCTAATTTGTTGCAATTGTGTCTTCTAAGCCACCTATTCAACCACTCAGCATCAAAATACTGTGGCCAGATTCAGCCCACATGACTATCACAACAATAATAATGTTTGAAGAGAGTCTAATCATGGCATTGAAAAAAGAAAAACGCTGCTGAGGAAGTATCTTTCCCTAAACTTATTGCAACCAGTTTATGTGATGACCCACTACCTGCCACTCCCTGATCTCATATTTTGACTACTTCTATAACATATGTTGCTCACTCCTTTGTATATATAGCTTTTATGTTAAATGTACCTATAATGATTGCCCATGTTTATCAAATCTACCGAACTTACATTAACAACTGTCAGTTACCCTTATTCACTAAGAAAATACAAAATACCAGTTGCAACTCTGATACTTGTTGGATAAGCTGGACTAGAGCTAGTGGTGTACATGATATATGGGGCTGCATTTCATAGCTCTGCAAATTAAGATTTCGCTCTTTTTCCTATACACAAATTATTAAGCATTACTAACAAGACTCTACAAAAAGCGGCATATTTGTTTATTAATTTAGTCCACTGATATCATTTATTCATTTATCAGCAAGATTTCTAAAATCAAAAAGAATAGAAAGAAATGGAAAATAAAGGAAATTCTATAAGATTTTCAAATATCACATACAAAAACACACACACAAAAGTTTGGTGATTGTTTAAAATGTCTTTGCAAAACTGATTTTGACAATTTTGGCATGGATGCATTCCTTTCATTCTCTAGTACACACACACATAAATTTTGCAATAGCATGGGAAGGCATAAAAGGTACCAGGGAAATTGTGGGGTAAAATATGAATACTATATGAACACTATAATAATAATATACACAAAACTAGTTACTACTTTGTCTAATGCAACACCCCTCCTGGGGGACTGCTGCCTGCAATTCTTCATGGCAGGAAAACATTTGACATATGTGGGAGTGCCTAATGCCAATTCTGTCCTAGATTCTGTCCTGTTGTACAGTATGGAAAGTATGGCAGATACACACCCAAGACTTGTTTGAGTTCCTGGTTGTACATCTGAGTGATTTATGGTAGTCAACAATCAAAATAATTATGTAACATCAATATGGAACAAGAAATTTACTAATATCCTAAAGGACTTTCAAGCATTTTTTTAGCTGAAAAGATTCAGGATGAGCACTCTTGAAGTGCACACTTAAGGTGTTTTAAGCAGGGAAATTTCTTGCCTAAAATCTCCAGAATTTTTCTTTCTTTCTCAAGCAACCCCTGTAGATGGCTAAGCTTTTGCTTGCTAAGTCAAGCAGTTTACGGTCAGCATGGCAACAGTGTTGTTTGCATACCATACTGATTAGCCTTCGATGTGGGCATTGGTCAAGAACTCTGCTTAATATTTAACAGAGAAATAATTTTTATGGTTTCTGTTTCTGTAATTTCTATAACATTCAGTTTTCAGTTCATTTCAAAGAAATTGAAATGAACTGAAAACGAAAGGAGATAATGGAGATTATGGAAATGAAACAGTTAAACTATTATAAGACTAACACATCTTACTTTTAAACTCCTAGCTTCTCTAAATCAAGAATATACCTACTACTCAATGAAACTGAGAATATTTCAAGTAGAAAAGTCTGAAAAATTCTAGCAACATTCTTCTATTCATATTGTATTCAATGACTTTTATTTTCAACTTCATAAAACTGTATATATAGAAATGGATAGGCCTTTATTTTCATTCAGTGATGTTCATTTGTTTTCATAGCACATCAGAGTGTAAGGGTTGTCAATTGGAAGTGTGTGTCACTGTTTTAGAGGCACTGTATATACATATAAGAGAAAATATTATGCTTTGTAATGATGTTAGGGTAACACATTTATTGTGGAAGATACTTAAGCCTTTCGTGTAGATTAGCAACACTACTCAGACTCTAGCAGTCGTTTTAAATAGCAAACGGTGCAGTTCTTGGCCTTGAAGCAAGAATTCTGACCAATGAACCCCTCCTTAAAACATCTTTAATAATTGTTTAGTAGCTGCACACTTCAAATTTTTTTGGTGCACATCCGAGATCTCGTCAAAAGTGTCGTAATTTCCATGATGGCCTGCTGTGGTGTATTCTTTGTTGTCCAGAGTAGGGGCTGGTGGTAGCAGCCCCCATGGAGGGGTTAAAGGTGTCACTGCCCCTGCATTTCACTATTAATAGACCCATTCTCTACATGTTACTCATTTTTACACTACAATGTCCTCTAGTACTAGTCCTGTCCTCCCCTGATTATGGAGCCAAGACTGTGGGTATTGCAGGG